CGGAACCATCTGTATTCTTATCAAGACACGCCTTCTAATCTTGATACCCTACAATAAATTTCGATAAAAAATATGATCTATAAATAATAATAAAAATTCTGGAAAGCCTCCTTCATGCTGAAATTCATATCATCCACAAAATATTTAATATAGAACCGATATGCATCCCGATCCCTTTACGACCAATCCGAACGGAAAAAAAATCCATAATTAAAAAATAATTATACGTACAGGAAGGTAAAAGTTAATTTCAGATTCTATACCATCCCCCATAGAATAACGAAAACGTAATTAACCACAAGGGTATTGCGTACCAGGCCAATCCAACCTTAATCAACTTAAGAGCATCGGGATAAATAGCACAATTGTATTCGACCCAAAAATTTTACAAATATGAATAATATTAAATAATATTCACCTACCTTAACCATTTTATTAACGTGATTATAAAAGAGGAATGTATACGTAGGCTGGTAAAATCGATACGATCTACCTACATAATTATCGAACGGATGATAAATCATTATATAATATTTAATTAAAACAAATCGTAATATAAACACCCATATGACATTTTTTTTAATATTTACAAATGGCGATATACGATTGTTGCTTACTTAAAATTGACCTCACCTTAGTAGCTTCCCTGACAGAAGTATGAGGTTTGGCACATGGTATACGTGAAGCTTGCTTGTCCATCTTGAATACATTTTACGTTTCTTTGCGCTTTGATATTACGTTAATCCCCACTTACGTCTTCGGTCGACGTCACGTTCGACCCACCTTCCAGCGTTTTCTGGATGCATTTGGCCGTTGGACGGCATCCGACACACGACTGGATCGTTCGATGCGAGAGGGCTTCGAGTACTGCCCTCTTACGTTTAGGTGTGTGTTGGCATCGGATATATAATTATTAAAGGCGACAATTCTCGATAATTATTCTACCAATTTATAAACTACCTTTTAATTCGTTTATGTAAGTGCTTCCATCTATCGATTAAAAATTAAAAATTTTAATAATTAATTTATCCAACATTCAATTGGAATATCCGATAAACCCATTTAAAAATTGTCTTTTTTTTTTCTTTTTTTTTTAAATATAAAAATTACACTGAAATACTTTAAATTATTTTGCAGTTAATTTGATTAGAAAAAAAATATATATATATAAGCCTATATAGATTTGCCTAGGTTACATGAAAAATTCGAAGCAGTAGCGATTAATCGAATGTAATTTATCACATCGGCTGAGATCTGTCGCAAAATGATTGATTTTTAACTGATTCTGATATCTAGCAAAGTATATTTTTTTATCATCGTAAATGTCGATTAAAATACTCTTTTTTATGTTTTTATTGTCTCGTTTCACGTGTTAATATTTGGATCGATTAAATTAATAATCGAATTTTATTTATTTCATTGAAAAATTAATTAAAATTAATCGAAAATAATAATAATTATTATTTTTTAATTCGTTTTATTAAATCAGTCGCGACTTATCGCGCTACGTAATAAAGTCGCCAGCGATTTATCGCGTCTACGCTAAATATGCCAATTAAAAAATATGTTCAACGTCACAAACAAGTTTTTCTAATGTTGTTAATGATGAAATATCGCTAGCGATTTTCTCTAAGCTACGACTTATCATTATAAATACTTCTTTTCCTATCTAGTTTATCGTCGAGACGAATTTTTTTTTTTCTAATGATATAAAGCTAAATTTTTCGGCTTTTTTTTTTTTACAACAGAAATATTTTCATCGATCGAAATATCTTCCATTTATAAAATAATTGAATAATAAGATAAATATTTATTTATTTTTAATGGATGAAAATTAAAGCAAATGTTACTTACTTTAATAATTTAATACAATGCCATCTTTTGCTAAATAATATAACTAAATGGAGAATTTAGAAATTTTCTAAATTAATTAGTTGCTTCGGTTAACAATAGATGGCGAGGGTTTTGATAGGCAGATTTAAATACTGTATGAAAAATGATCAAAGGAGTGAAATAATTAGAAAGAGAAAATGAATGATTTGACAAATCAACAAGGTCGCCCGGTAATATTTCATTGAACTTGATTGACAATAACAGATGGCAATTTTATCTTAAGTGCTACACAAACATTCAATTTATCAGATAATTCCACTCAGAATTTTGAATATAAATCACTATTATATTTAATCTGTATATATCTAAGCTAAAATAAAATTTATCTAAAAAAAAAAAACTAGAGTTAAAATTAACACTAACCATCTAATCGTTCGAACTACCTTTTTAACAATTTTTAATGATATGAAAGGGAGGGAAACACGATGTTTTATGCTGATAATTTTCATGGGCAAACTAGCGTAGTTATCGCATGTAACGGGTTTTCGACCTTTAAAAGTTCAAGAGAGATTGTGGAATTTTCTTTCCTCTAATTCCTCTGTTAGATAATTTCGTCATGAAAATAATAATTAATGATTATGTTGCTAATAAATGTAGCATAGTTGAGAGATCAAGCATAAATTATGACATTACTTATAGTTAAGGTAAAGTTGATCAACCTGTCAAGGTTAGTGCAATTGTTATGAATTTTTTTCTTTTTTCTTAGTAGAAAAGTTATGATAAGAATCATTCAATTATGATAATTTTCTTGAATTTTAGGGTTTGAGAATTTTTTTTTTTTAAGAATTTTCCACTTTACGAAACGTATAATTTAATAATAAAAAAAGAATTCATTAGAGGAATCGAGAGGAGAAATTGTTCTGTGAAGAAATTTCAATTTCACTTTCAAGAATAGAATCATCGTTGTTACAAGACTATGTACTTATAGAATATTTACTTTATTAAACCGTTTACACCATAATTATTTATAGAAAATTTTATTTTAGTTTATACAATTACAGTACAAGGTATATTATTTAAAGGGAATTTTCTATAATTATCTATCATTTTAAAATTTATATCCTATTGAACTTAACAATCCTCTTCATTGGGTAATACCTTCTGATAATTTCTGCAATATTCAACCTTGAAATGCGATTAATCTGCTACCAGTTTTTATCCTTTATTTACTTATAAATCTCTTAAAATATTTTCGAAAATTACAGTTTAAATTATATATTATTTCTTATCATAAAATAAATTTTAAAAATATAAAATATATATATATGTATGTATATAATTCAGAATGGATAATAAATACTTAAAGTATATACTTCCAGCCTAAATTAAGAAAGATTAATTAGTTACGTGACTTCGAGTTACGTGATGAATTTTGACATTTTATGGTCAAAATACATAAATAATAAAACCATTTATTATAATATATCAGGTTGTTTTTCTATTCAGGCAAACAATAATATCTTGGCAGAATCATTCCTCTCTTTTTTCGTGACTATATAAAGTTTACGTGAGTACAGTAAATAAATATTATAATTGGCATTAAACTCTAACCAATTTAACAATAGAAAAATTACATTTGGAAGTATGTTTAACTTAGAAATTACTCAAAATAATCGGTGATTAATATGCCAAGCTATGCGACAAAACCAATCACTGTCATTAATGATTAAGACGTGAGCTTCCGAACAATTAATTATGATTGATATTCGGGGTAATTGATGTCATATCTTTTTAATAGAACTACACGCAATTACTTTACCTGAACGGCTTCTTTTTTTTTCTTGGTTTAACTACTTATCAATATATTATGTAAAACTGACCATTTATTATTATACTAAAGTAGCAAATCGTTTTCAAAATCAAGCTAAAAATAAATAAATATATAAGCCGGATTTATGAATTCAAACTTCGTTACTTTCATTTTTTTTTGTTTTTTTTATTATTCCTAATATGGTTAATATATTTGCTATATTTAACAAATATACAAATTCCGAATAGTTATAAATGATATATTTATGTCAAACATTCGATAAGCCACACCTGATACATGAAATATTACGAAGTAATTGACTGTTTCATAATATTTTATGTAATATTTTCCCATCTGTTGTGTTTGCCCATCTTTTAATAGGTTACGAATGAGAGCTATTTTCTTACTTATGGTACATAAGCCATTATTATAAGAATAAAGGATATTTTAGCTGATATATTTTGTAATAAATTAACAACATTCTAAATTTATCTTAAAAAATAATATATATAATACACACGTGTAATATAATATGCATAACAATTGTGTTATGTAACGGGCATTTTGATTTTTATACATAAAAATTCAATATATCCTGGCATTTAGTCTCATAAATTTCGATAGTTAGCTTAATATAATCGATCCAAATTCTAAAATGTTTTGTTTTTATTGTCTCTCCTATAATTAATTATAGGAGAGACAATATCATATTGTTATACAGTAATATTTGAAAATAAATTAGCCACATCCATTATTAAAACTTTCATTTATTTTAAGATTTGAAACTCACTAATAATTCAAGAAGTGAGCCAAATTTTAAAAGAATATATGCGTTTTAATTGACTAATTTAGCCACTAATTATCATCATGCGTAATGTAAAAAGAATAGTTTTATCATACTAACCCATTAAATAAGCCAAATATTAATAAATAATGATGATTTATAATAAAGGAGGCGAGTAAATTACCTACTATTACAACGTCTGATGTCGAATTGGCTCTCTAATACACGATGAAATAGTTTGCCACAAATTACTACAAGTCTCAGTTAATGTCAACTATTATCTGTCAACGAGCTCTTAATTATATATATTATTAAACGACATATATAAAAGTATTATTATTCCAAAGGAACTTTAAACACGAAAAATAAGTTTGAATGGAAAAATTAATCGAAACATTAAAAGTTTCTTTAATTCTCTCTTTTAAACCAATCTATTCGAATTGCTAATGAAATGACGTATTTAATTAAACAAAATGGTAGATAATTACGTTATAAATGTGAAATTGGTACTTTCTGACGAATCCGCACAATGTAAAGCAACCTTTACACCACTAAGATAAGATTAAAGTGACAGGTATCAGAGAAGTTAAAACTCCAGTCTTTCCGAACGTAGAAAGATCATCATATGTATACTTTCAACTTGATAGTTTTATATCTCTCTATCCTTTTATCCATTGTAATCATTAGTCAAAGTGAAAATGAGAAAGAAAAAGATCTTACGGGTGAGTATCATTTTACAATTCGTATCGAAATTCACACAAGATTAGGCTTTAAATTCTTTACGCTTATTAATTATTTTACTTTTTCTGCTTCTAAATTTTCATCTAATTCTTAATGGGTAAATAAATTGGAAACATTCCAGACTTCACCAAAGTAAATTAAAAATTCGACCTTCTTTAATTATTGCGTATGCAAATTAGAAACTTAATACTCTCGACTTTATTTCGAATATTAATGAATGGAAAATATAAACACGATTTTTTTTAATAATAATTATTTTCTCTTGATGAATACGTACTGATTAAAGTTATGGAATAATGAATTTTTATGGTGCGAAGTAGATTACACAAAATGAAAAGAATAAATTTTAATGCACTGTAATGTCTTTAAAATGTTAATGAAATGAAAGGGTATTTTAAAATCTTCACGAAAACATCGAATTTCTACAGACTTAACAAAAAAAACAAAAGAAAGAAAAAATGTTAAGCGTTATTTCGTATCTGATAACTTAACGCAGTCTAAATAACAGTCGGTATCACTGAATTCGATAAGAAATGCCGTATAAAGTGTTGTTTATGGTCGGTTTCTTCTAACCCTTTACACAATATCACGCATCATAACCGAAGTTAAACATCTAATTTTCTTTAAAATTTAAAGATCTTAAAATAATCTTAATAAATAAATAGAAAATGAATGCCGTGTAATTTTTTTCTAATTAAATAAAAATGAGTTTAATTTGTACATTTCCAAAACAAACCTATTAGAAATTCTTTTAAAATTTAAATCTATTGATTCTATGATATGCAAATGAAAAAATTTACATAATATCTTAGACTTAAATAGTTCTTATTCTTTGATTTTAAATAGAATTAAAAGTAATAACAGTATACAGGCATAGGCAAATGCGGCTCTTACTGAAAGTGTTAATTTCTGTTTTTTTATTATTATTTTTACAATTTTATTTCCACAATTTTGTGAAAATATGTTTATTTAAAAAATTCAATATTTGTTTTTATATTATATTATAAAATCGCGGTACAGAACTGCGGTACAGAATTAAAAAAAAAAGTACAGAACTGCGGCTTTCATGCATTTTGCAAAACCTACATTTCGGCTCCCACTGAACTCTTGCTTGCCAACCCTTGGGCTATTAGCATCTTGATAAGTACGTAAAGGATCATCGAGACCTTGTATAAAGCTCGTGCGGGACCCTAGAGTAGAGTGGGCTTCTTTGGCCCTTTATTTTGGCAAATGAAATATGTAGAATTTTTTTTTATTACTCTTAAATATTTTATTAATAAAAACAGTATTAATTTATGGAGATGGGAACCAATATGGGCCCTAAGTTTTCTGTTGATCCGGAAAAAATCCCTAGCTTTCATCTCTCATTTTATAGAAAAAGACCGAGGAATGAAATCTAATCAAGCTTATCTATTAAGAATTAAGAAATAAGCATAATGAATAATGTCGTCATATCAACCAAGCAAATAACTGAATTAATACTTATTTTGTTGCTCGGCAATTCTTGCGATGTCATAATATTTGGCTTTACTTTCGTCTGTTTTTGATGCCTGTTATCATTGGAATAAAAAGGATACATTCGGTTTCTAAGGCAATCGAATTAAGGCGAACATATGCGATATCATATCGACCTTGATACCATTATAATGAATAGTTGTCAAAAGGGCATATTAATTAATTATTTTATATCACTTGTTTTGAATTGAATTTTTACTGTCATATATTTTTATAAGGAGCACAATTCTTATCGCATTATTCGGGTAATTGTCGGTTATTGGTGTGGATACCGCAACTAATTGTAACAGGACACTATGATTGATTATAGTGTGGACAATGATTGATTTTCTTCTATAGCTTCAGACATTAACGCTCTATTTGATTATTTCGTGACAGTTATTGCTACTTGAATTTTCTATTTTTATTTTTCTGAAATTTTAACCTTTACGTCGATCAATAATTTAAAAAGAAAATTGCAAACTTATTGAACTTAAATTTATAAATCTATTGCTATTTAATTCTTTTTATGAATATTTTTCATGATTCTGGGTGTCAACGGAAGAACATTAAGAGGGAAAATATTAGGGAATATGTCCTCACACTCTCACTATTTCCCCCTAATATTTATGTGTGGGAAATTGTCCCCAAATATATTTTTATTTTATACCATACTACAAAAGTTGGGAGTGTAAACGAGTACTGTACACAAAACACAACAGGTACACATTATTTTCATATCCGCTTAAAATCGACGTTAAGAAATTTTTCTTACAAATTATCATTGGACTGATCCTCCTGTATATAAATTTATATACACGTCGATAATGAAATACAGTAAAACCTCTTTTTAACCGACAAAATTTCCGGTCTGTACATTTTTCTTTTGCTTTACCGAACATTTTCATTATGGCAAAATGTGAAAAATTAACATAGAATCTTAATATCTCGTTTATAAATTCGAATAATAAATTATAATTATTGAGTAAAGTTAAATCAAAAACAATATTTATTTATGTCGTATTAATTATTACTATTTCTTTATTATTTCTTTTATTCAAATGTTTTGAACATTCCGAACATTGAAAAAAAAAATATATATATATATAAAATTAACTCAAAAAATATCTTAAAAATGGATCTTAAATAGTGATTCAGAATGATCTTTTATATTAAAAAAATGATTTAATATGAAGTTGAATACGTAGAGTTACGAAAAAAAAAAACAAATTTGAATAAATGGCAGTTGTAAATCTTACAGAAGAAAAATTAACAGAAGCTCGAAGGCGATGTTGTTCTCCAGATAATCCGAATACATTCTGCACTCAAGATAAGTGCTATTTCTTACTGAGTAGAAAGAAATCATGGTCAGCTGCAAGAACCGCTTGCCGAAGATTTTATGAAGATCTTCCCGATCTAGTAGACAGTGTAAGCTTTAGCAGTGAAAAAGAGTTGAAAACATTATTAAAAAAATCATCAATAAACTTCACAAAGTCGAAAGGTAATTAGGTTAACCTATCATTTACTTTTACCATGTTTAAGATTGATTTAGTTTTAAATCTTAATTTCAGTATGGACTAATGGAATCTGTTGTGGATATCTCAATCTTGAGCATAGATGGATAAATGGTGATCGGTTTGAGTTGAAAACAGACAATAAACTTAGTGCCACAAATAAGTTTTGCAGTTACTTGGCATTAAATATTAAAGATAAATTATTTATACATAAAAGTGAAACAAATAAATTCCAAGTTTTGTGCGAACTCAGAATTACTAAGGAAAACGAAAATACGTCAATGTAAGTGTTTAATTTTTATTGAATATTTTAAAATGTATTAAAGTACTATACGTGACAAAATAATCGTAACACAAGGAGCCTTCCATAAATTAAGTAACACAGATATATAGGTATCTTATTAGTGGGTATACAGGTAATCGTTATAATCCATTACAAGTAGTTTACAAAAATGTTACGTAATGTAGGATCTCGATTCTCGGGTAACAGAATGATTACTTTCTGTTTCTGAAGTGTTGCGTAGAGAATTGTACTGTTTTTACACTGTTATACATGTAATTAATTAAATAATGTAACGTTCGTCATTTCGTGCTGTGCATTATTCCTTAGTATAATTAAAGGGGATTAAGCATAATTTTGGGGTTAAGTATGTGCGATAGCGTTACTGAGCATTACGGGGAGTGGAATTGTAGTTGAAAAGTATAAAAATAGCATTAGGTAAGTTATGAATGATCCGTAATTTTCCAAATATAATTAAAATTAGAATTTCGTGCTACTTTTTAATAATTTCTATATGAAAAGATTGAATTCGTATTGAATAAAAATAAAAATATAGTAGATAATTTAATCTAATGATTCATTTGACTAGAAAAACGCAGTTTTAACTACGTTTTTAAAACTATTTCGTTAATTTATAACAAAATATTATATTATATATATTTTTTTTAATCATTTGAAATTGATAAGATAACCATAAACTTATGTTATCACATACCGCAACAAGTAACACTCAATATTTTATGAAGTTAAATGACCTATTTTCACATTTGTTGAGCACTTCCTACTTCAGTATATTAGTACAAACGAAAAGTGCTTACTTGTTAGTCTAGACAAGAAACGAGAAAGCATCTCCAATTTTCTTTGAATAATTGAAAATGCAGGGATGGATTGCGTTAGAATGAATTCAAAAATAATAAATAAAGAAATAAAGACTTATTATTAGTAAAAAAAAAACTACACATTTAATTGTATAAAAGGTAAAATTTAAAGAATTTAAATTCTACTCTGATAGTGAAGATAGAGAAAAAATTCCAGCCTCTTCCGACTTCAGAGATGATTAAACATTCAAACAACACTTAAATCAAGAAAGAATTATTTTAATTCTTACACTCCATCGTACAATTATAAGTTATCTATCAAATGCAAATGCACTTCGTCAAAGTGAAGATGCTTCGGCCTCCTCAATGACAATTCAATTGTATTATCACTGAGGAGGAATCGTCACAGGCCGAAGCAAAGCATCTTTGGCCAAGTGCATTTGATAGGTAACTTATAATTGTACGATGGAGTGTAAGAATTAAAATAATCCTTTCTTGATTTAAGTGTTGTTTGAATGTTTTAATCACTTCTAAAGTCTCTCCGCTATATTATGTGATTTTAATTATATATCATAAAACATTGATTTGATTTTAATTAACATTTACGTATTACTTAAAACATAAAAACTATATGAAATACAGAATTAACTTAAGCATAAAGGATTGTCCTTTCCTTTGTACAGTACATTATATCTGAGAAACTTTCCTATAGAGAATTTTCTTAGCATTCTAAGAAATGTTTTTAAATATGTTTTAAATGATTGATTGTTGAAATAATCGATTTATCTTCTACATATAAATCGATTATTTCAACATAGAAAAAGTAAGAAAAAAATAATGTTCTATTAGAAAAAATTTAGAAAAAATATGAAAAAAATAATGTCTATACAATACTTTTTATACTGTATTTACGATATTTTATTATATTATATTGTTTATCATTATTAATATATTTTTAAATTTAGAACGTTCAGCAATTTCTAAATTAATATCACAATAAAATTTGAAATAATAGAATAATATTTAAGTAGAATATGATTTTTCTTTGCTTTGGATTCATTTTTCTGGGTATTGGCTTCATATTTATGAATAACTATTCCTTCAATTCTATTCTATGGATAGCCCGAATAATTCTGTATTCCTCAAGTTTATTACACTATATTATTTTTAAAAATTAAAAAATGATTTCTTTTTGAGATTGGGATGAGGATAGTGGGGTGTGGCCACCCCTTAAAACATCACTAAAAGCATTGCCATCGGACTTAGGTACGGTACGTCCTCAGAGGATCAAACGATTAGAAGTGGATGAAATTTGAGTCGCAAGATTTAAACAAAAGCGTTTAATAATAAAAGAAATGTTGACATAATATAAAAATAATTTTTTGTTTCGTTATTTCCGCCCTGTGGATACTAAGAGGGCTATTTAATCATCAGGTCCACAATGGGGGCTGTCCGGTGAGGGACGGGACCCGACATATCCGGGATAGTTCACCCCAAATAATCACTGGGGTTTTTCAACCGCTCGCATTCGATTTTGAGTGAAAAGCACGTGAAATTATTGAATATATGCCAATAATAAGAACTGACATATATATTAAATTGAAATTATATTTATAATATTTAGGAAACGTTTACTAAATTATAGACTAAAAAAAACGTGTTTTTTTAGCCTATACGTCAAATACATGTTTTTTCTTAGTTTATGCCCTTTACAGTTAGAAGTTTTTCAATAAGTAAATATAAATTTTTTCATGTGTAAGTTCTGCAATAAATTTAAATTTGCTACGTGAAAATTTGCTTCTGTAGAAAATTCAAAATTTCTAAATGATTTAAAGTTTTATAAAAATGATAGTCTTTAAATAATTCTAGTTTTGTTATTTAATAAAACTACTTCATATTTTACAAGAATATGTTATATTTATACACGTCTATGTATTTTATATGAACATCTTAGATGATTTTGTTAAAAAAAAAAGAAAAAAAAAAGACAAAATCAAAAATTTATATTCATCAAGTCATGAATTTTTTATTACAGATATTTTTTTGTGAAATTTAATAAAATTATTTTCAATAAAACATGAATTAATCTTTTTTTTTTCTTTTTTATAATGATAAAATCATAGATTATTTTTATAATATTCCCCAAAAATTACTTGTAAAATACACGTGATTAACACCTGTTACTGTTTAGAAAATTTAAAACAGAATAAATGTTAATTTAGAATATATATAAATAATTTAGTGAGTCTGCTTACAATCTATATGCTTTAGAAAAATATAGTTTTTTGTATTTTTAAAATATACTATTATCTATTTTATATTTTTAATATTATTCAAATTATTCCTTAAATATTTAAATAGTATCCTTGCCTTACTTTGATATGTTTAACGCTAATTAAATTAGTTCCTAAGAAGTTAGGGATGTACTGTACTTATGAGCCTTACTAATTAAACATTTAATTTGTATTGATAATGAAAATTCAATTGATTTAACTGTAACTATTTGGTTTTAATTCCTGATTGTGAAATGTTTCTCATGAAGTAAGATGATAAGATTAATCGAATCGAAGGATATGAAAATGCTCTCTACAACTGGTAAATGCTATAAATGTTGATAAGCTCTATTAGAATTAATAAATTTCTCTTTATATACAAGTTACTATTTTGTAAAATTATATTATTTTTTCAATTTCATAACTTAAAGAATTACTTTTATAAATAACTTCTATTCTTATATCTATTTATAACCGAAAATTTTAACTGTTAACAAGTAATAAACTGGTTTATAAATCTGAAAGTAAATAAATCTTTCCAGAAGAGATACAATAAAAATGTTACTTGCTGAATTGCCCGAAACTTACACGATGGTAGGAAAGAGCATTATCTCTAAAAACACTAGTTTAAATTATCCATTTCTTGGTATAGATATGAATATATCCCTATCGTTTCGTTGTGTCATCAGTAAATTATATCACTGAACCTACGTAAGTCAATATTTTAGGTAAAATATACAGTGGACTAATATTATTATTATTTAACTCTATAGAAATGAATTAAAATTTATTTGCGACTATAATATATTATATATTTAATACTGATATTATTATATAAAGGTGTACATTTTAAGGAATAAATATAGACCATAAAACGTTTCATTTAGACTAAACATGCAATGATGTTATAGACTTAATGTATTTGTAATTCTTATGAACATTTCATAATGTTCTGTACCTTTATGTCTTCTAAAATAATATAAAAATTCGAAATTCATTAATTAATTTCGTTAAAATTTTAAGTATTAATGCATCAAATTAAAACATCAATATTTTTAATCAAAAATTTCTCACAGTAATGAAACCTTATGTAGCTTTGACTATTCGTTATTGAAACAGATAATGACAATGTGAAATTTCTAGTATTGTGAATACAGTGGAATAAAAAAAAATTAATTATAAGATAACATCGTATGATAAATTTATAAATATAATGAAATTTCCATTAGCTGATTAATATAATGTCATGTGGTTATATATGCCCAATTTTAATAAGTAGATAAGTGATTAAAATAGGATTTTCTTTTAACAGAAAACGTTATCCACTTATCACTGAGGAAATCAATGCCATATTTTTCATATATATATATGTAAAAGATGTCAGTTTACCATAGATTGTACTGCTATTACGTGTGATAAACGAAAACATAAATTCACTCTTGTATAAATTTGATTTTGTAAATCTGCTTATTGCATTAGAGTTAGAATATTTACGAAATCAATTTCTGTTCGTTCTGTAATTTCTTTTTATATTAAATTTTTCTACAAATGGCACCCTTAAATGATTATATGAAAGATAACGAAATTGAAACATTTTTTTTTTATTAGTGAAACTACGAGCGAAGTATCTAAAACACCGGATGTTACATCGTCAAGTATAACAAAAAATACAAAATCAATAACTTCTTATCATCCAACGTCACCAACAATAACAGAAGAAGTAAAAACGACACCAGAAGAAATGCTTTACTGTGAAGGAAAAACATTTCAAGGTATTGAATGGCCGAGAACTTGTGCTGGTAAATATGCTACCATAAATTGTCCGAAAGAAACAGTTGGTAAGTGAAAAGTTAACATATTTTAACAAAAATGTCAATTTACAAGGTTTCAATTTAAAGATTTCATCTAATTGCAATATATAATATTATGTAGGAACGTGTAGATAAATTTAAAATATAGCTGAATATAACAATTAATCATTTTAAAATAATATTTTGTTTCAAAGTCAATTAAAAATTCTTTCGAAATAAGTGTTTTTTAATCATTAGTGGCATTGATAACACTCAATAAAAAACTCACATTTAATAATTTAATTTTCTTTCTTTAAAAATAAAAGCTCTGATTTTATGCGAATTTTCGTAATTACTAGACAGAATTCATTTTAATTTCTTTAATTTCAGTAATTATTTTAAATTATCATTATCCAGAAATGTTTTATTTTTCATTGAAAAGAAATTTATAAATCATTAAATAATAAAAACCATTCCATAAATCCATAATTATGTAAGGACCTTTGTAATTAAGAAATCCTATTAAATTATTTCTCATAAAATCTTTGAATTTTTTGAAAATAAACTGGTTTCAATAAGAGTTCTAAATAAAAATAGAATTCTTATTTAGGAAAAGCTTTGTGGTATTGCAATAAGTCTGGACATTGGGAGACAGAAGAACCGAATTTGGATGGTTGCATTAGTTCTTGGATTGATCAAATTAATCAAGAGGTAAGCCTATACGTGTTTATTTTTATTATTTTATTTTTTACGAAAATATATTTCAAGCATTTAATAATATTTTTATTATTTGTTTAAAGTTTATATATTTTATCATTTTTAAAGTCATTTTCTCGCAATTTGAAAATTAAAAGATCATTGGCCTATTCTATAGTTTCTTTTTGTTTATTATATTTATTAAAACTTTATAAAGTAAAATTGAAAATAAAAATAAAGTAAAAAGAATAAAATGGAATTTTACAAACCAAATATAAAAATAGAAAGAAAGCTTCAGTTCAAAAGGAATCTTTTATTCAATCGTTAACATCGGTAAGCAAATGGGCTCTTTCAATGCCATTTTATTCTTTCTTTTAACTTTTTCTTATTCCTTTCACGTTTTTTAACTACAAAAGCATCTAAAGACGAAATTATTTTCTATTTTACTATACCATATATTCCATATAAAGCCATAAGCATATATATATATAATATATGCTATATAGATGTGTGTGTATATGTGTTATGTAATTAAGACAAAGTTTAATTTTTATACTATTTATATTACTAGCATATATATGTATTATTTAAAAATATAGGTATATAAAAAATTAATTTCTATATAAGCATATACAATTAATTAATTTTTATACACTTCTATTTTTAAATAACACGTATAAAGTATATGTTATTTGAAAAAGTTTATTTATGTTTAGAAAATTAATGTGAATCTTTGTCCAAATAATGAACCGAACTTCGGTAACTGATGTTTATGACATTTATATTCTTTATGTCTTCCGTTTCACTTCATAACTTGGACAGACATCCTAAATTTCTCTCTCTGCTCTCTTGTCGGTATTAAAATGAAATATCGAGAGAAATTATTTTAAAAATCGATATTTCCTATTTATAAATTTAAAATATTTTCCTACTTTTTAANAAGAATATATCCCTTATAAAATATAGAAGAAATATATTATCATGAGAGAAATTGTGTTCCGTATCTCACGCAATATCTTACATAAGTAAAATCCAAGAAATATTTTCATTTTTGCAGGAAAGATTCCATAGATCGATGAAAATATTATTGTATAGTAAAATCACGTTTAAAAACATCTTTTAATAGAATTAATATTACAGATAAACCAAGGCAAAGATACAACTCAAATAGCAGAGAAGTTATCACAATTATCTAAACAGGATTTAAAATTAGGCGATTTGAATGGCGTGATGGAAACAATTAAAAATTTACTAAAACATTTCGATGCAAATAACAGTAGTTTTGGATCCGAGTCTTACACTGTTGTTACATTTAGTAAAGCCATATTGAAAACAGGAAGTAACTTATTAGACAATAAACAAAAATCTGGCTGGAAAAGTTTATCAGGAGTAAGTTAAAATAGACTATTTAATCAATAATTAATATTCTTTATTAATAATTTCGAATTGAAATTAGGAAAAACGAGTCAAAACTGCTAATGATTTTATGCAAAAAATGGAGAACATTGGAAGAATAATTGCTTGTGGATCTATTTCGAATAATGAAGAAAGTATTGTGGAAGAAAATTTAGGTTAGTTCTCTTGTAATCACTTATTAAAGTATTTTCCAGTTTAGTTTCTTTTCTAACCGACAGAGGGGAGCACTTATCACTTAAGAGTAATTTTTTTTATGTCACAGTATGTAATATATAATTTACTACTACACAACTTTTCATATTTTATGTAATAAAATCAACAAAAATTCTTTTTAAATATTAAATAATCACTATTTTATATCACTGTATTTATTTATAATAATATACAATTTTGATTAAAAAATAATGCATATAACTTATATTTAATTTGTTTCAAAATTTAAAATTTTTACAGAAATTTATTTTATATTTTGATGACTAAATTATTAACATCAGTTCTGCGAAATATCTTCATATTTTTTTCGGAATTTCTGCCGCTAACAATTCATCCAGATCTTAGTTTCATGAAGACAATACTTTAAACTTAGTTATTAAGAAAATGCTGATATAATTATGAAAAAGCCACTAATAAAAAAACTGTTTACATCTTTTTTTTAAATTAGTAAATATTATTTAAACGTTTTCCATTTTAAGTATTTAAAATTTAGATCTTAACATTTACATAGTGCATTTGCCTAAATGCGAAAAGAATTGAGCTAGTAAATAAAATTTTATCATTTATATATATATATATATATATTTTTAACAATTATTAATTAGACATTTAACTATTTTCAGCATTACAGAACTTTTTTCTGAAAGAAAATTCTCAAATATTATTTCCTCGTTCGCGTGATCTTATGAATACATCGACTAGCATTTATCTACCAAAGAACTTGACACATTACAAATTACCTACTTGCACTTCATTTCGAACTGGATTTGGCATTATTTATAAGAATATCGCGCCTTATCTATCAGAAGATCAAGAAAAATGGGAGTGAGTCGAGAGATTTTTATTAATTCGTAATTTCAATAATTCGTATAGAAAAACACCATAAATATTCTTAAATCTTTTGTATTATTATTATTTATTTTTTTTTTTTTAATTTATTATTTTCTATAAAATAATAAAAATGATTATATCTATTGTGTAAAATATAAATTATTAATGAATGGCCTTGCGTTAAAAACAATTAAAAAGAATAAATTAAGAAAAACTTAAACAATATGCAGTAAGGTAAAGTAATTTTGCAACTTGGCATTGTCGATTGCAATTTCACTATTATTTTCTACATTAGTAGATATTTGGATCATCCATTGTTTCGAGATTTTTATTTTATTATTTATTGTAACCTTAGCATTGTAAGTTATAATTATAGAGCTTTGGCATAATCTTCTAGTTTTTGAGTTATCTGTGTCTTTAATACATTTCTAACATTAAAATTCTTGCCGCATCAGTAAATTTTTAACATCTGCCGAAATTTTATTTCTCCATTGTTTCTTTATGGAAGATCTATCATCATCTGTTGGACTGACAGATTTTTGTAGCCTGCAATCTATCTAGATATAGGGGAGACAGGGGCAACTTCGGCATACGGGGCAAGTTTGTCAAGCGCTTTTTTTTAAAAACAAATTAAAAGGAGACTTTGGTTATAGGTTAGGCAGTTGAGTTTTATTGGTGGCTTGTTGAGTGTAGTGTTTTTATTGTTCTCCAACAAGCGTAGTTGAATTATCAAGCAAATTTTCATTTTCGTTCAATTCCATATAATATTTTTTTTCCATTTATATTGAATTGGCAGGTTTTGTTATAATTCCATGATAACGAAAGTTACTTTTCCTGTTAGAAGGATGTAACTTCAACTTATTCACGTGGCCAGATCGTGGCTTGGCATTCTGTTCTCAGGGTTGTACTTAATGTTTCGAAATCATGACTAGCGGGGTAAGATCGGCAACATAAAGCCACATTAGAAGCAAAGGATAAAAATCAAACAGATGATAAATGAAAACATGTTTGCATTTGTTATTCATGTATATATGTCTTTGAACTTGCATTTCGTTGTAATAATATTAAATGGGTGTTGGATTTGTATTTCTTTGTTTTAATAGTGAATTCCAACTTATACATTGTTAATAACATAATTTTATATACGTGCCTATCTTGCCCCATTACTGTTGCCCCTATACCAGGGGCAACTTTAATAAAAATAATTAAAATAATTACAACTTTACAAAAAGAGAGAAGTTGCCGATCTTGCCCCTATACCCGGGGCAACTTCGTCAATTTCTCTCTTCTTGTAAAGTTGTAATTATTTTAATTATTTTTATTTCCAAACTGATTTTAACCAGTTCTATAGTAAGAAAACATTCCAATAGACAATATGCAAAGCTTTTTTTTTTAGTTTACAGCAGTATTTATTACACAAAATTTAAGCAAAGCTTAACATGCCGATCTTGCCCCGGTCTCCCCTATACATTTTATCACTTGACTTTTACTTAAATTTATTATATGGTATATTATATATTTTACACTATCATCAATACAACTGTGAAACTGCAAATTTTCTTATTATAGATATTTAAAACGTTTATAAATCTTCTTTAATAAAGAATATATTATAGCTTCAGCATCGTACGTTACTCCAAAAGAACTTTTAATTCACCTACTTCATTGTTAAACTTATTAAAACGGATATAAAAACCTGATTAGATTCTCTCATCATTTATAATAATAACAGATTTAATATCATTGATTACATCAATGCATCTGCTATCATCACTTCAAGAATAGTATTTTTTACAGCATTCATATTTAATGAAACTACCTGTAATTATTTCATTAATGGCTAGTTGCATTAATAGAACTTTTTCTATAAGCCTCCGTAATACAATCTGTATTTAATATATTATACTAAACTATTTTATCTATAGTATTATCAATTTTTTTAATATAATTTCTTGGAGTACTAAATGATACAAACGTCAATAACATCTATAATTTACAGATGCAATCCGAGTTAGAAAAAAAATTCTACAACAATGTTAATTATTTCCGTTTGGCGCATAATTTAAATGATTCTTATTGTTTTTTTTTTCAGAATTAATTCGAAAACAATTGGCTTCAATTTTGGTGACAGCACTACTTCCATTAATCTACCGGAAGGAATGCGCGTAGAGATTACTCTAGAGCATCTATATCCTGGAAATTTTAATACTACTTGTGTATTTTGGAATATCGAAACGTGAGTAAATTTAATCTTCTTTAAAGTTTTTTTCCCTATCAATTGAACGTATAAACTAGCGTAAAAAAATTGAGGAGGTAAATATGACATTGAGAAATCTATCATCTGTAAATTTGATATCTTTTCGTGGCAATGGACCATTTATTTATAAATCAGTCAATCTGATGAATCATCATTTAATCATCATTTACTACTAACCTTATTTTTTTTCATTGCTAATGTTGCATGAAAATAAAAATAGGTTAAACTTGTTTCGTCTACTTTATTCTTTTTTTTTTTTCTTATCATCAAATGGTCGAGATTCTATAAAGAAGAAGAGGTAAAAAAAAAACCACTATAACAACAACAACAACAATAACAAAGTTGCTCAACTCGTCGACACATTTCATCTCTCGAAGATAGATTAGATACGTTTAAGAAAACGTTTACACTTTTAAAGATTGCCAAATGTTAATTTCTTCATGTATCGAACGACGTCATAGTGCTGTTATCTAAATAATGATAGCATTTCTCAGGCGATTTATTAAATAATTTGATAAATTTCCTCGTGTGTTATTTTAAAAATGAATTCGTTTATCGCATCTAATCACACGTGCAATTTATTTGAAGGTTAAGTAAATCTAACAAAAGTAGGAAAATGAAGTAGAAATACCACGAATTACCCAATAGACGGCTAGGGACTTGTAGTCTCTAGAAGGCCTCAAAAATTACATAGTAAAAAGATAATTCGCTTCTAAAAATTTAAAAAAGTGTATATTTCGCACCCGGCAAGAACAGTGACATAACTCACAAATTGATAATTGTATTGTCTTTTTAATATAAACATTTACATAAAGGGCCTTATAACGAAATTACGCCTAGGGCCTCAAAGAAACTTAATCCCCTACTACTACAAAGTATACATAAAAGCATAATATTTAATGAAATTTGCTTAGTAATTTATACTAATACATGTATTAAAAAATAATAAATATTTTATTATTTTTTAAAATAAAATTCGAAACGTTCATATAACAAATATTATATTCGATAAAAATTGTGAAGAAAAATATTTTACTAAAACAAGTTAGAAACTAGACATGTCTAGCTCTATTCCAATGCTATTATTCCTGATCCCCTTTTGAAAGGGGGCTCAAAGTGGGTCCTTAACCTAGAAAGATTGGTCGTCTATCATTGACAAAAGTTATTTTTTATTCCATATGCTACCGGGGAACCTATTGATGGACATATGTTCTTTTCTATGTATAGTTAGGGGTAGATTGCACCCCACAAGGATTAAATCTCTTATTTAAAAAAAAAGACAAGAGATAAAAAAATAGAATAAAGCAATTTTTTTATGTTCAGCGTAAATCATATCCTGTATTAATACTATAGCCTTGTTGAAAAAAAAACACGTTTTAGTTTTTAAAATATTCATTGAATATTATCATAAAATAAATACAGAGTATGATAAAATACGATGATTATTAAATAGAGTTACAAATTACACAGGTAACTTATAAATAAAATGATGACAAATGCGATTTGTCATCGTCTCTACGAAAACATTTGTTTATATTAGAAAAAATTATCCGAAGAAAGTAAATTCTGAAAGAGTAACTATTTGTTCATTAATTATAATATATAATCTAAACATTTTCTATTATTAAATCATAAAGTTTGTTTCCTGTTTGACCACTTCTTTTGTTCCATTTAAGAAGTAAATATAGACAAAAGCTCTCTTTATTCTTATCGTACATTTGTACAAGTCATTGTACCTAGAATTTTGCGCAGTAATGTTACTTTCTTATCACTAGAAAACTTCGTTCTTAAAGTTGAAAGGTTTTAAATTCTTGAATTCGTATAATGAAAATTTGAAAAGATGGCAAATACTAAACTTGTGAATCATCTAGAAACTATTCATTTTGTAGATAACATTTAATCAAGAAGTTTACTCGAGTAAAAACGAAGGAATTCTGAAAGTTCATCGCTGGTTACATCTTGTTACTTGATGTAATTTTAAACAAACTTCGTCATGTAAATTACTAAATGTTAACATTAAGAAATAACTAAATTTTCTTCATTTCAATAATAAGAACGTTAGGAAATGCAAACTGTGGATAAGTGTTTTGATGATAAATTTTTTTTTATTAGTTGCAAATCGTAGTTAAGTCTCACTTGATTGATAATCACGTCATTAAGAATATCGTTAAATCGGATTAAATAGCGATTAAGCATTAAAAAGTAATATTGTAAACAGCCTTAATTAGCAATTTATAATCAAAATTCTATCGAAAGAACTTGATTACATTACAAAGTGCTGTTTTTTTTAAAAAAAAAGCATGTTATAATGTAATCAGGTTCTTATAACCAATCTACAGTTTATGAATAATAGATTAAATAATAAAAAAAAAGTAGTTATTTATCATAAGATTTTTAATGGCTGATGAAAACACTATATAATTTAAAGCTTTATTATTAAATAAATAATTAAGATACAATTTCATTTTTAAAAAAAATCAGCAACTATTAGTAGTTATTGAAAGAGCTTTTATTCTTTATTACTCTTAAAGTAAAGAAGTAGTAAATAGCTACTTCTCCTATAATACTACTATTAACTGAAACTTACAATAAGTTATAAACATCTTTATGGTGTTAGCAGATTATTTAACATGTATAAAAAAATTGTAGAATTATTAACTGGTAAAAAAAAAGACTTTAATTAGCAATATAATTAAATTTTTTAATATATTCAGCACATAGAAACTTATTTTAAACTTTACTTTCTGATAACAACAGAAGCAGTTAGGAACATAAAAACAAATGGATTTTCCACATATATTTTCCTAGCAAAAACCTTCTACTTTCGACATTATGTATTCCACCCATATCTATTCATCACTTTGTTTCCTTTCTTGACCTCAATAATGATCTGCCGCATTCTTTTTTTGATGCCTATTTATAGCTTCTTTTTTTTTTATAAATATTTATTTATTAAACTATTATTTCTCATAGTTTATTTATTTTTATATGTCTTGTCACATAAATTACTTCCGCCAAGGTTACTTTGATTAACGTTCTCGATATACATTAAATATATCCTCACTCACATAATGCACAGTATGTCATTATACAGATTTCCCACACTTAGCTCGGCCATAATGTCCACATAAATTAGGATGTAGAAGCTTTATAATCTATTCAACAATAAAAAAAAAATAAACTGGATTCGTTAAATCTAACTACATCTCTACAGATATTTTGTTTTAGCACATCATACTGAAGCAACACCTGCATTGAATATTTGTTATGTATGCATCATTGTACAATAGAACGACTCCCACAGAGATAGACATAGGTACACGTTTTAAACTGTTAAATTATTTATATAAATGAATCAAACTTTCTTTTGTATATGCAAATAATACATTTTTTTTTTTTAAACTAAAGCTTATAAAAATATTCTTTAAAATGCAGGCCGCAATTGTTGCTTATATCATACCATTTCTTAGGGAAAGGCTGAACTTGATTATACACTTTAATATCTCTTACGGCGTACGATGAGTTTCAAACTGGTTTTTCATCATTTTTAAAAGAGACAGCCCATTTCTAGATATTTTCAAGAATAACAATGACTTTACAATTAAAAAAAAAAAGGTTAAAATATGTAAATAAATTCTATTTCTTTTTAAATATAATACATCTTGATTATAATTCTTATTGAAGAGAAAATTGTATCGAAACTAGCATTTAAACGGTTAAATTAATGTGAACAATACCAAACTTAACTAAGCAATTTGAATTTACTGAATACAAATTTCTATCTGAATAAAAGTATTGGGAGAATTCATACGTTTAGATAATTAAGACAAAGTTCCCAGAAAGATTAATGGCTATTGTTACTTAACATAATTGTTGCATGCTGTGATTTTTTTTTCTACACAAAGGCAAATTATTATGCATTATCAAAGTCATGATTTATTTAAACTATTATCTTAATTTAAATAATAAAAAATAATTTAAAATTCTATACTTTCGAATTATATATTACAATTACTTGATTTTCTTACTGCAGTATTATGCAATGTACTGTACGAATGTATTGTAAAAGTTTCACTTTTGTTTAAATTTTGAAAACTCATGCTTACGTTGTATTACTAAAATTTAGTCAAATATTATATATTTAAACTGAGTTTAAGCTGTAATCCATACTTCTTTAATTATAAAATGTTTGAAAATTAATAAGAATTTTAAATAAAATTTATATAAACGACCTAAAATCATAAAAAAAATAAGGTACAATTATTTACCTTTAACTTTCGAACTTTTTGCAAGAATCTAATTTGTGATGGGAAAATCTGATATTTTCTAGGTCTAAGACCTGTTCAACGCAACAGTATACCACAGTTTAAAAGAAGTTTAACTGCCTTTAACAATTGTATATTTAAAAATAGGCCATTTAAATAACCATATTTGCATATAAATATTTAGACCTAAATAAATTTTATTAAGATGAATTACTTGGCAGTTTGGCAGTTAAATTGTTGATAATGTGATAGTATTTAAACTTGATTATAAAATAACGGGTTTCTATATTTCAATTAGGAAATGTAACAATTTCAAAGGCAATGAATTACAAGTTAGGAAGCACATGCAACATCCTAAAGGATATGTTATAAAAGCTAAAACATGCGATGATTAAAAACTAAAATTTCGTTTAACATTAAAAAAATATATAGATTTTATCAACTAAAATTAATTATTTTTTTATTTTTTAATAAATTTTCAAATTCAGGCCACAAAGTTACTCGCATACGGGTTATTGTATGTGAATGACCCATTCTAAGTTATGTATGTTTGTTATGTGTCAATAACTATTATTTTCAGTAACATCTATTCGTATGTAGATACAATTTTAAGTTTTCAGTTATCCATAAAAAATTACACATAAAAATGGTATCAATTACATATATTATTTCAGTTAGGCCTATATATTTAAATTGGTATGAAGCTTCAGTTATTCACAGAGGGTGGCCTGTAAGTTCTATCTAACTGTGAACTGTGCTATATAAAACTGTAGCACAGTTAACATTTTGCGTGTAACTTAAAAAGTTTTATAAATTTTTTACTTTTAAATCTTAACTTTCTTTTGTTTTATACATATATAAATTATCAGATTATATTTATTTATTTTCCTTGTGTATTAAATAAACTATACAAATACCAGTCGACCCCCTATAACACTGTTGATAATTCCGTTTTATATGAATTCCATGTTGTACGAGTCACTTAGATTTTACAAATACGTGTGTCGGGCTGTGAACGGCTCACATCTTTGTAAAATCTAAATGACTCGTACAACATGGAATTCATATAAAACGGAATAATCAACAGTGTTATAGGGGGGTCGACTTGTACCTGTATGCAAACAAAATATGATTTTTTCTCAAAGAAAATTAATTGTATAAATTAATAAGCATTTGTAATACGTTTTAGTTTACGTTTTTAAAATATAATAGAAAAATACTGCAGAAAATTTACTATTTAACAGGTAAAAGTGGTTGAAGAAAGCCTAATGAACTAGTTTTCAATAGTTGAATGTTACAAGTCAGTGCATTTATGGATATCTAAAGACTGTTTTTAGGGGGAAAACTGAGTGACAAATATATTGTTAATTAATATAATTAATCAAAGTGCTTTAAAAAAATCATTAAAAATCTCGTTTGTTATGCTGTTTACAGAGAAAAAAATCTGATTCGGTCACGGATCAGTAACAGTCGAAAAGAAACTTGGAAAGGTCTTGTCAAGAAACTTGTTGTCTTGTCAGAGTAGATTGCATTTAAATATAAACCACTGAACCGTAAATATTTGTAAATATAGCCTGAAAGCTAGTGATTTCAGCATTTGTTATCTTTATAATATGGACATACTAGTCGGGGGAGTAGGAGGCAACTGCCTACTAAATTCGGGCAAAAACAAGTGAAAAAACATCAAGAAAAGTAAAAGCAACTACAATAACAAAAAATATGAAAGAAAAATCAAACAGTTTAACAAATCTCAGTGATGATAAATTAACATTTTTGTGTTTATTTGTATAAATTTTGGAAAAACTACCCCCTCTATCCCCATTAACCGAAGTGTTCCCATACAATCATAGTAAAAATTTAAATACTTTTCTTGTAAATTACTTTGTACGAATAGACAGTCTTATAATATTGATGTATATATACAATATAATGGATTTATATAAGGTGTTTTTGACTTTGTTGCATGTCTTCAAATCCTCTTTATAATAGACGAACTATAAATATTTAGATCTGTTTAATTATGTTTGTAATAAAGTTAAATTATTTATAAATTATAACCTTATTAATTATTTCGAAAATACTCTTGATAATATATTTTTATCATAAAAATTAAATATTTAAATTTCATTTACGCCATGAAAAAAATTATTCAAATATTTGGTGTTTATTTTTCTTTTCATTTTTATGAAAGTAATAATTTATTAATACTTTTTATTCGTTATTATCGTTACTTGAGAGCCATTTATTAGGATAAACTTTTTATATTTAATCAAGCTGTATTAATTTTACACAAGGAAACACTTTCTAAAGAATGAAAAAGGTCATTCTCACCGATGAAGAGTTAATTTATGTAGATTAGGAAGATAACTTTGTCACGTTTAAAGCAGATTTTAACAGCTTAAATCTTTGAAGTTTCACGTTTTAATGACAGAAACTCGACAATATGATTACTATAACTATTCCAATTTAACTAGTTTTCCATTGCTTTATCACAAAGTTTTAGATAAACTTGTACGCTACATTTAAATGTGCTTATACAAACGGGAGCGAGCGATGAAATATTAGTTTAGATTACTGAATTGCCACGTTTTAAAGTGCCACATGTTAACTGAGGAAATAAACTATAATTTATGTTTAAAGACTAAACGGAAATGCCGGTCATACAATATGTTCATCCACGTTGTTATGGTGGATGGAGTAATGTTTCGCACCATTTCTTTCCACTACATAAAAATGTTTTATAGTTCAACCTAGGTAAATTGCCATTAGAAACATCGTTAATAACATTTTAAAAATTGCTTTGTCTCATTCTAAACGTTAGCAAAAAATTTATTTCAAAAAGTAAACTGTGAAATCTATTACTAAAAACTAAAAATAAATCTGAGAATCACACAGACATACAGACAGAAAATTTAAAAAAAAAAAACAATGAAGTAAAGAAAAGAAAAGAAAAAAAAAACTTTCAGTTAATGCTGCATTATTACAATTCACCTTTAGCAATGTTAATAACCACAAATTACAAGAGGAGACGGAAACTAGACAACTAGACAGGATAATCACATCATTCTATCCTCCCTAACCAGAACAAAAACAAATTATCTTTAAAACATAACCGACGAGTTGTAGCTTATCTACATTATATACTTTCTCTCAATAATATGAAACAAGATCAGAAATGCATTTTTTTTTTTTTTTATTCCAAGAAAGTACAAAGTGTTCTGTCAGACTATAATCTAATCTTGTTTCCACCTAACCTGTTTTAACAATGGTAGCAACCCCTAAATTTCCCCACAGGAACTACACTCCAGGAGTGCATTTCCTGTAACTTTCATATGAAGGAATAAAGTAGACAGAGAAAAATAAGTTGTGTACATTTATATATATACACACACGTTAATGTGTGATAATTATACCTTTATGAGTTTATTTATCTTTCAAGGAATGTTTCTTTTTTGTAACTTTTTTTAGGTTAAGATGGGATGGTACTAATTGCTCGATAATAAAATCGAATAAGACTCATACCAAATGCGGTTGCTCTCATTTAACTAACTTTGCAGTTTTGATGGACATTTCTGGAGTAAATTATTCTTTTATTATTATTATTATTATTTTAAATTTTATAAGCTTTTCTTAATCTATTGATTATTATTTTTTTTAAGAACATTGACAAAGACAATGCAGTCATGACTTACTTAACATACATATGTTGTTCTTTATCTATCGTCTCGTTGATTATTACAATTTGCTGCCTTTTGGGATTCAGGTACGTGATCTATAATTACTTTTTTTTTATTAGAAAACATAACGAGCTACAAAGTATTTCAATTCATATGCCTCGGGGTACGAATTCTACTTTCAATTCTTTCACTATTGAAACGGATTTAAGGATTTTTGTATATGATTAAGAAGCATAAACATTTACGTAACTAAGTCTGGATGGTTCAGCTAGCTACTGAGCTTCTTACTTCTGTCCTCAAGACGTTCGTGTCTAAGTAAAACGGTCACGAACTTTCGACGAAGTGGGTCATGACGTCACGTCTGAAAGGATTTGGCGTGGTCACGTTTAGGAGACGGTCTATCTCGTTTCTTTTATCTTAACTCGCATAATTCAAATAAATCTTGGCTGTTCGTTACGGTGAGAGCCCTGCAGAATATATTGAAAAAAAAAAATGCGGAGAAAAGTTTAATGATTCCCGAGAACGGGAAAAAAAACAAAATATCCTTGAAAACAAAATATAAATTGACATTAAATTAAAGGAAAATCAAAATAACGATGTAAAGATTCGATCAAAAAATTAATTTATGCTATGTATTATTACTATTATTTTTCAAATATATATATTAAATAATTATAAATACTATTTAAATGTAAATTATGTTGAGTTTATTAAACTTTAAACTTACTTAAATATTCCAAATTTTCATTCTGATTTGTAACCCAAATATATTTTAATTTATAATAACATCAATGCTAAAATATAATCGAAAATAAAAATGGATGTACTTTAATCATTCGTGATTTAATGCAATTAAATATTATANATAATACATTTTTTTTTTTTAAACTAAAGCTTATAAAAATATTCTTTAAAATGCAGGCCGCAATTGTTGCTTATATCATACCATTTCTTAGGGAAAGGCTGAACTTGATTATACACTTTAATATCTCTTACGGCGTACGATGAGTTTCAAACTGGTTTTTCATCATTTTTAAAAGAGACAGCCCATTTCTAGATATTTTCAAGAATAACAATGACTTTACAATTAAAAAAAAAAAAGGTTAAAAAATAGGGAAAAAGTTATTGTGTGTTATAATTATATGCAGTAATTTTTTATTCAAAAACTAACATAACTTTATTTTCTGGCCAATTAAATGTCAAAACGAAACAAAAGCATAATCTCTAGAATAGAAATAAATCCTAAGAATAAAATTAAAAAATATCCTTGCATGCAAAATTATATATAATTGAGGAAAGCTAAACAGAAAAATTACTATTAAATTTTTAAATATCTTAACCTTCAAACTCGTGTTTCTCAGGGCGGTATCAACACCATCAAAGGAAAGTAAAAAAATATATATTATTCTTTGTAATAGTGTGATAAATGTCGAAGAGATATCATATTGCTATTCACCCACTCATTCAGTAAAAAAAATCATGAAGGTTACACACAAAAAACAACTAAGACTTTACATTAACCACACATAACATATGTTGTTTCATGGGTATCAAACATAGATTACTATGGTTAATGTAGCATAAAATTAACTACTCATTTTCTTAAAATTTTCTCACAATTCTACAATAATATTTTAATTTATTTGTTTTTTTTTTATTTCAGAGCCGTTCACAGTAGAAGAAGCACCATAACGTGCAACTTGTGTTATTGTTTATTAATTGTAAATTTGATAGTAATATTTGGTTTAGAAAGAACAGAAGTAAGGGTAAGTACTTGAATATAGATGTACTCGTGATTAAATATATTATTTACACTTTAACGTGTGATTAATGATATATGTTATACCATTCTCGAGTTACTTGGTGGGTTCGAGTTAGCCAGCATAGATAAATTAATAGCCGAAAAAATAGTATAAAAGACTTTTGTTATCTTATTTATTACGCAATTCTTCAGGAATAATGTATAATTAATAATAACTACTGTAATAAATTTCCCTTATAAATGTGGACTTTAAATTTATATTTGAAATTGAGATTTTCATGCAGATTCTAAGACAAAGATATATTTAATCATTATTAATAGTAAAAAAGTAATAAGTACAGTACAAATGATCAAATATATAAAAATTAATTCTCTATATTTTTCTATTTTACAAGTTTAACATAAGTACTATAGATGAATTTTCACTATATTTATAGATTAAAAGTGTAATATTAAGTACAGTCGACCCCCCATAACACTGTTGATTTTTCCGTTTTATATGAATTCCATGTTGTACGAGTCACTTAGATTTTACAAATACGTGTGCCAAGCTGTGAACAGCTCACGTATTTGTAAAATCTAAGTGACTCGTACAACATGGAATTCATATAAAACGGAAAAATCAACAGTGTTATAGGGGGATCGACTGTAATAACACTATCAGTAATAAATAAAATAGTTTCATGTCAGCAACAGACTCTATCAAGATATAGAAGTTTAAATTCTAAAAAAATTCCAGAAAACTAAACTGTCGAAGGTCCTTAAATGCTTAGCTAATTTATTGCAGCAGCTTAAATTAATAGCTTTACAGGCGAAAAAAGTTTATAAACAAAAGTTTAACAAGATAAACTCATAACTTTTCCGGGAAGGCAGGTATTTATATCTACTGCTGAAACACTAACCATGTGCCACTTGCTTTTATAGGTTATATGTAGTATTATAGCTGGATTACTGCATTATGTTGCCACTGCTTCCTTTGTATGGATGCTGCTAGAAGGGTATCATCTATACCAGATGGTGATTGTTGTCTTCCATAAGATAGATACTATTAAATTCAGATGGCTTTATTTATGTGGATATGGTATGTTCTTTGTATAATAACAAAAAACGATATCATCAAAATAAAATGTATATGTATATGTTTTCTGTAAGGTACTCCATTGCTGATTGTAATCTGTTCGGCTGCTATCAATCCAAACAGTTATGGAAGAGACGATTTGTACGTATATTTTATAAACTAAATGTGAAAATCAAGATAAATGATTAAAATTTACTACTTGCAGCTGCTGGATATCATATGAACAAGGGTTCATGTGGAGTTTCGCTGGGCCTGTAGCTGCTATTATATTGGTGAATAATTTACATTATATTAGCAACGATTTCTCGTAAATATAAATATTTAATCATGTTTTATTATACTTTAGGCAAATACAGTTGTTTTAATGATGGCATTACGCTCGGCATCGAACGTGAAAATGAAGACGTATCAGACTAAAGTTAAAAATGTCTTGTAAGTATGAGGCCTACTTGTTAGTTGAGTGTGAAGCTATCTTGTGCTACTAACAATTTTTTTTTTTATCTTTTTAATTTAGAGGGTGGTTGAAAGGTTCTTTTTCTTTAATGTCCTTACTCGGAATTACTTGGGTGTTTGGATTTGTTTACGCCAGTGAAACAACACTCGACTTCGCTTATGTATTTATCTTTTTTAATGGTTTACAGGTTAGTTCAAATCTATTATATTTACTTGTTTATATCAATATCTTCCGTACAATTCTAGGAAAAATGTAGAAGAAAACAAGGAACTTTTTCTCACTTCATTTGGGTTGGTAACTTGTATTCGATCAACTCCTTTCTACATAAATTCCGGTTAGTGTAAAATGGGGTCAGATTCACTGGCAATTTGATGAGTGTAACCTCCTTTTTCTCGAAAAATGCAATACTTGTAGTTCAGTGTTACAACAGTTTTTATCACGTGGTAAATGGCGATATTTATTGCCTTCTTTGGTTTTGTATAAAGGATTAAATTTTATATAAAGGAATTAGGTCTTTGAAATCGATAACTTTCTATCAGATTTTAAATTATCAATTTATTTTATAATTAAAAATAGACTTAATATTATTATAATTTTATATTATATCTCTTTTATAATGCTACTAACTTAATAACATTCTAATGTTTTTATATATGTTTAATAAAACTACAAAATGTTGTTAATGTTACGAATTAGCATTGGTAGACGGGAAAAATATAGTAATGACAACTATCAATGAAAGCTGCTTCTTTTTGAAAATATTAATCACTATATTAACAATTCATTTATATACAAATTATTTTACAGGGTGTCTTCTTAATGATATTTCATGTCATATTAAACGAAAAAGTCCGCCAGTGTTTCAGACACATCGTAGCGAGAAAGAAGGTTTCTCATCACATATTTATCAATGTAAGCAATGCATCCTTCTATTATTTTAAATTAATTTTATCTAAACAAGGTGAAATTTTAAATATTTACAGTCTCTTCGTACAACTACATCTCAAAATCCTCTCAATTCGCAGTCAATCCAACCGAGCAAAACATCATATTTATCTTCTCCACGTCGCTCATCTGTTTCCCCAGTCACCGCAACGTTCACAGCTCACATATAAACTTTTAAAAAATATCTTTCTTAGTTCTTTAACTTAATATACAATGTTATGTGTCATTTAGATAGGTCATAAACTTAAAATTGAGTGTTCACATTCACAGTTTATAAAACATATATAAGCATATAAACTTTTAAAAAATTTTATTCTTAGTTCTTTAACTTAATATACAATGTTATGTGTCATTTAGATAGGTCATAAACTTAAAATTGAGTGTTCACATATTCTTTTGTATTTAGTCTCTCCTTTTTTGTAATCAGAATGTGGCCCACAAAAAATTTGGTCATGCTTAATTTTAAGCAATTATTACCATATAATTAATTTCTATTAAATGAGAAAAAATAATTGGTACTTATGGGTTAAGAAAACGCCAGTCGGAAATAGCGATCAAAGTCGCGATTTTGAATGAAAATATCAAAGTAACAATAGACTAGTAAATTTAAATCTAAAAAGAAGAAAATTTACTGATAAGGTTGTAAAAATGAAAAAAAATCAATTAGAATGATAGATATCACCTATTTGTCATATACACTACAAAACAATTTGCATATTCAAGTGGTTTATTATTATAGTTTTATAAAGATATAACAAAATTTTACAATCATAATTTATTGTTTGATTTAACAATTTTATTAAATTTGACAAACAAAAAATTGCATTATTCTGAAAAAACGCTAATTCCGACTGGCGTCCTCTTAACCCATAAGTNGCTCATCTGTTTCCCCAGTCACCGCAACGTTCACAGCTCACATATAAACTTTTAAAAAATATCTTTCTATATATATATTTTTATCATCATCACAGTCAATGTAAAGGGGAACAAATAATAAGTTTTTTTCCATAAATCAGTATAGTGTATTTATATACTGTTTAATCCTAATTGAATCCGATAAAAAGCAATATCACAATTTTATTTCGGCGTTCATAAAGCACTTTGCTCGAGGTTACTAGGCACAAGAGTAGCCATGGTATATAATTTTTCTTTGTCGCCTAAATCTACATTAGTTATGTGCTGGAAACAACATGGTTGAGATATGTCACATTTTCTAGGCAACTTAATCCTCTCTTGTTTTTTCTTGACGGCTTTTTTCTTCGGCATTGATAGCGAAATGTTCAAAGGATCTGATACTAATTGGTCCACTTGATCATAGAACTCGACCGCAGCTGGAAGATTATCGAAACTGAAACCCGCCATTTTCCTGTGATCCGTAGATAGATACATTGTGTGGAAGGTAGTATCCTCTGACCTGTAATTGGAGAGATTATCGATGATATCTCTCCATAATACAAAACCGGAACCCTTTTCGGCCAGAACTATCTGAACCATTCTTTTTGTCCTGGCACGCGTTTCACCTTTATCCAACAAAAGGACTGGTATTCCTGTCCTAGCCAACTGCCACTCGGTTCTCTTCTCACCACCATCCGCATTACAAAAATATAGATTAGCTAAACATTGGCACACGTAAACGTAGGTTTTGTGACTCCTAAAAAATACCTCCACTTGCACAATATCCTTTTCTGTTAATTCGCAATCTTCCTGTGATTCACCATCCTCATGTCCCTGACAATCGCTTAATCTTCTTAACGCATCGTATTTCTGCACAATTTTTTGAATGGCAACTTTTTGTTCCACGATTGATGAAGTGGAATAAACAGTTTCGTCTGATTCACTGTTGGTTTCCATATTATATTTTATTTGTCACTTCTTTCCTACACCATCCAAGGAGACGTGGAAAGCCTGAAAAGATAAACAGAGAGTTTGTTAAAGATAATAATTGCGTAGGATGAGGTGGCTATGGGGTCAAGAATAGTCGTGTGACTGATTTCCTGTTACACGCGTTCAACCATTGTTCACTATATATACGAACCGATAGTTCAATTCTTCAAAAAACTAATTATGATTTTTAACGTTCCATTATTTTGTCACTTTTAAAAATCAATTATCGTCCATTATATACAATTATTTATAAAATGAAAAATACAATTACGCTTAAAATTATATTTTATTCTCCTATTCACAAATAATTAAACCAATTTTTATAATTCGAATAGTATCATTAATTATTTATAAAATAATTTTGGTATTTCTCAACACAAAAGATCGTTACGGATAACCGAGGAAAAAAAAGGTTATCTAAACTAAAATAACTAGATAATAACCGGATATTAGTGTGAGCGAACATTCAACTAGCTTTTGTTAAAGATTATTCTCCTTTCCAAATCTATTCATTTAATAAACAGGAATTATTCGTTAGATTCGTGTGACTTGCATCACTCCTTTAAAAATAAAAATGCATTTAAAATGCTGTTTCAGCTTTGCAAAAGTCAACGAAAAATTTTAAATAGAAACAAGATATAAATTTCCCACACGGAAATGAATAAATATAACACTTCCTTCTATGAAGAACGACGCTCTTCGCATGATACACTTGACATACCCAGTTAAGAATATTGACTTCAATACAGGCTATACATACAAAAGCCTACATACTCCACCCATCGGCTTCCTAATGGATAAAGTGTACCAAAAAAGGCAACACAAAAGAAAAACCTTATTAAATAAATTACTATAAGGTCATAAGATACTAGTATAGCCTAATCTAGGTTTTGGGTGCATTGATTCATTTAATCTTTTATAAAATTTACGTAATAATAAATGAATTTGTAAGTTAATTAAGTAATGGAAAATATACTCAAAAAAATGCCGAATCTTCAGATAACTTGAAGACTTTTCCTTGAACTTTTAATCTACCCAAATTCTATTTAACCTCTAGTCTGCTGACAAGCAATTATACTATTTATTTAGTGTGCCTCACTAAATAAACATAATTCGGTGTGCTTCAACGTAGATTAATTAGTTAACTCATTCAAAAAATGTCTTGGTATAAACACGAGCCCCATAAAACGCATAAATCTTTCAGTTAGAAACTTATAGACCTTTACTACTTGGATCGTCTTTCCTACTCATATTTATCCGATGAGTAATAAAAATACTTCTTTTTTAAAACACGATATTACATAATTTTGAAAATCGATACTAAAACTAAATAAACAACGCATACATTCCAGTGTAGATGTAAAGTTAATTTAAAATTAATCGTTTAATAATACATATACAGTACCTAGGAAGTGTCGAGTTGGTGGTTTAATCACGATGACACACTTATAATAGATTAGATATCAGATCAGAAATCATCGAAACTTTAAGAGAAATCACAATCTGATTTCGATTTATACTAAAGAAAAACAAACTTAAACACATACGGTACATAAGACTTTATCAACGCAGTTAACTGAAGATATACAATCATTTTGTAGCTTTCAGAACGTGAAAATAAAAGAGTCACGAATCTGTGACTCAGGTTTTAAAAAAAAATGGTACAGGTTGCAAACTTTCAAAACTGCAAGTTATTACAACATATGACGTATTAAACTCTAACACTCTATAGGAAAACTCACGTCTTAAATAAAATCTATATTTAGGTCTTTTATAAAACTATACGTATATGATACATTGAAAATATATAATAGCCCCTTGTTAATTTTTTCCATATATAGACCAAGTGGGTGTAATTCCCATAAAGGACGTCATTGAAAATGTCTGTTAAAACGATTTCGTCATGGAAACACGATCCGTTTTTATCAGTTTACGAAAAGATCGAGTGTACACGTTAACAGGACTTCGGTAAGGTATATTGGTGAATTACGAAGCGAAGTTTAGTCGGTTGACTACAAGAACATAACAAAGAAAGGGACGAGCGGAACATAACAATACAAAATCGGCTCGAGAAAAGAGCAATTAACAACCATTAATGCCATTCATTTTAAAGAATATAACGTAGGCCTACAGTTTAAAAACTAAATGAAGTCAGCCATCATTATCTATCTAAATAGCTTAATTGTCTATTGTCCGAGTGGAAAAGAAATATAAAAAAAAAAGCAATGTATATAGCTGCTCATAATAAATTTCGAAATGTAACAGAATGAAATAGCACGTTGGAATATCAAAAAAAACTCTAGTAGCTATTTATGAATCACCATCAGCGAGTAAGTGGTTCTATACCTGACAAAACTTCCCACAGTCCCTGCTCGGTACTTCGCTAAAGGACAGAGGTCCATAACCTTTCACAACCATGAAAACTTGTTAAGGTCACAAGCTCGCACCTTATATATATATATATATATATTCGTCAAAGTATAATTTCTGACTATTCATTTTTAAAAGTATATTTACACTTATAATATTTTAAACACTGAACGTTGATAAAAACAATAGCACTCACCTGAACAATAGATTATATACAAGGCACCTTTCAGGTTTGTTAAAGATAAGTTGATTTGTATCGAAACATATTCGATTTATCGGTTGATTCGTTCACTTCACCGTTCCAAATAACTAGTGTTAATTTCCATATGCGCACCAAAGTGTCACCGCACAGCGCCAAACATTCAACTGTAGAAATCATGTAGAGGTACGATGACGTCATTCAACCATTACCCAATGACGAAGAGCGTCCCATGACGTATTCTTCTTAGAATTTTTTGGAAGTAACCTCCTAATAATGATAACAATATGGAAATAATCTTTTAATACGTAGTAATACTTTAATATTCAAATATAAGAAGAGTGCATTTAATATGTAATGAGTCATTTTTCCTGTTGATTTTAAGCGATGATAACTATTATTTTTTATATGTTTTGTTTAGTACAAATTATAAACAGAGTATTGATTTACAATATTATATTTATTTAAAAAAATAACATAAATATGAATTTATAGGAATTATTAAAACTAACAAGGATCTTTGTATTGCTTTTTTCTATTTTGTTTATGAGTTTAAATAAGACTGCGCCAACCAAATTTAACATATTAATACTTTACGTGGGTGATAATTAAATTTCTGTGTTAAATTTATTAATATAATTCTGAATTAAAAATTAAATGTTTCTGTTTTCATTGTAAATATTTAAAGTTAATTAAAATCTCGTTAAGGGAAGAAATATTTAATGTGTCATTTACTTTTAAGTCAATTCTATTACTTTGGTGATAGGAGATGTCAACTGGAGATCTGTACATTATTGCCTTCTAAAAATCGTTCAAACTTATTAATGGAGTGCATAAATATGGAAATTGGGATGCATTAAACCTTATTTAGGTCAGGGTTGAAGGGTGAAAAGTCTTGCAGGTTACGTGTTAATGTACATATTGAAAATAGTTTAATATTCTGAAATATGCAGTGCATTTTTAAAAATATAGCTGCAAGTAGAATAGGTGAAATGGCCCCTTACTAGGTGGGCAATTTTAGCTTCTCTGCTATGAAGCCAAGGGCAAAAATGCCCTGCCCAGTTCCCAACGTTATACAGACTACTCTCTTTTAAACAAGTTTTAAAAGATAGATTACACCGATTGTTCTCTTTTAGTTTTTGATATCAACTGTGTCCCTTCTACGTTGACCTGTACGATAACAAATGATGGCGTCAGGGTTCTATGTGATTTCATCCATGACTCATTGCCCAAGTGCAGACAAGATGAAACAATAGTAAAGAATAGATATTACACTGAAACAAGAATTATTAATATTAAATTATATGAACACACCAAAGGTATTATTAAAATGTTAAACTGTAAGGTATCGAATGATACAAGTGTTATTATTACTTATATTAATTTTTTATTAAATTGATGAAATTTTTATTACTCTATGCACAGGTGTTGTTTTGTCAAAATAATGTAATATAGTGTAGCTGTATTAAATTCCTTTGAAAATTTTATCACAGATATAACAACAACAACAACAATAGTAAATTTTTAGTAGTGTATCATTTGCTATATTTATATCAATTCATAAAATTCTATTCTCAAAAAGAAATATAATTTAACATTTTTTATAGCATAATAACCTCATTTAAGATGTAGAGCATTTCTTAAAAGTTAAAAGACATAAAAAGAATTGTGCTGCGTGCAACACCTTCACGAAATTAAGAATTTTTTTTTTATTATACAATATTTTAAAATTATCAATTGTGTATTGCTATCATTTAATGTCTACACAGACCATGTTGTTCTGTATGATTCCATTTAACAAGTTGTCTCCTCTTAACCTTGGACTATAATTAATTCTCCGTTATCTTGCAACCACAGGTTCTTTACAATTCACTTTAAATGGCCATTATCCTTTTGTTCAAATAGGAATTTCCTTCATAATTTTTTACAGGATAACTAAAGATGAAAAACTATCTGATTAGAAATAAAAAATAAGTGAAAAAAAATTAAATTATTTATCGTTATGTCAATCAAGCTGTATAATGGTTTTTACTCTTATTATTATTAACATTTTCCCCTATCAGTCTATTTAAATGGTTGACAAAATAATACACAATCATCTTATCAACTATCTTAATAATTTTCAAACTATTAATTATATTCTAAAAGTAAGATCCTATTTATTGTTCGTCCTACTTCAAAACATGTACGAGTCAAAATAAAAACTGAATAATAGGAAAACTTGAAATAAAAACAGAACATCGACACTACACATCAATATAAAAGAACTATTTTTATTGAGTTTATTGTCATTATTTTTAATTAAATAATTTGATAAAAAGTAAATATGTAGTCGAAATTTTAATTTTAATTTATGGAATTAATTATTGGAAATTATTTTAGATGAGAGATAAGATAATGGCGATAAAATTTGCCTAAAGTAATAGGATAGAACTTATAAGTACAATAACCCATACGAGACACGTTAAGTTCACCTTAAAATGTCTTAAAATAAAAATAACTGGACAGCTTCAAGGCAAAAGTGGTAGGCGATAAAATACTACACGAGAGATCTTGTTAAAATATAAACACTTTTAGCACTTTATAATCGCATTGTCAAAACTTTCCTCATTTGTTTACTTAAAAATCGAAATTTAAATTCTTCTTCTATACTAAATAGAGTACTTACTTACTTCATTATGTGGAAATAATGTAATAAATAACAAGCAGGATATGTAAATACGTTTTTTGACGGTGATAGAACTACTGTAAATGCACAATATAATTTACTGTTGTGGCAAAACTAAAATGATTAAAATATGAAAAAAAAAGAAAATCTTGTGCTTAGCTGCATAAAATCATTTACACAGCTGTATCTAAATAAGCAGACTGTAATCATAACTTATCATTTATGTATAGTCAAATAATGCTTGAAATTACATAAAAACTATTTTTGTACTATAATTTATAATCTGTTTAATATGTATACAAACAACTTAAAGTGAACATATGGTTATATTTATACTGTACTGTACATGCTCTATATAATTTTTATTATTGTATTTTACGTGTTGTCTGACGTTCGTTTTTATTTCTTAACTAATGCAATTATCTTATTGTCTTGGTGAAAAACAAACTTATGATAATTTTGTTTATAATGGCAATACATACTAAATGTAAAATGTTTACTTACTTTAAGATGTATTTAACATATTTTCTGCTATCTAATCTGTTTAATCCATTCTTATTTTAGTAATTATTACAATAAAATATTCTTGCAAAGATTCCATGTTTTAAAATAATCTTTTATAAAATTTCTACTTGAAAGAAAAACACATAACATTAAATGACTAATCCTAATTATTGCAAAATTTTAATACTATAATTTACATTATAATTCATCTTTATTACGGTAAATGAGATAAACACTAATTAGTGGTTAGCTAAACAATAACGGGAAAATACGTGAGGTTTTCCCCGTGAATTTTAACAGGTATATGTCAGATTATTCTATTTTTATATAGAAAAAAGTGAGACAGAAAACCTTTAATTTGAAGGATATTCCTAAAATATAAAAATTAATTATATTTTCTGAGTAATGGAGATCCTTTACGTATACAGTATTACACTCTGAAGCTGGATAACCGAGAGATTATTTCTATCACAATGATACTGACTTTCATTAATGGGATTTTATAAATATAAGCTTATAAACTTTTTAATGTACAGTACATTCTGTACAGAGAATGAGTTTATTTTCTGTACATTTTGTATTATTTTTTCCAATATTTGTCACATAAATCAAAACTAATAATTGTAAATAAACAAATGTAATATATCCTAATTGTAACACAGCTAGACAATATGGCGTCACACCGAAATAATGATCCCGCAGAAATATCTCTTCATATATAATCCAAATACAATACAAAATAAACAATACTATATTAAAACATTAAAATTTATTAAAATACATTTACTTTCATGTGAGTTTTAATATTATGAACGTAAGAAAAAAGCAGTCAACTGGAGAGTTCTATTAAAATATTGTTAATTTTCTGTAGACTTAACAGTCTACAGTCAGGAAAGTATTGCGAAATTTTTGACATTTCCATACTATTTTTAAATATAAATAAATTGAAATAATCAAATACAAAGAGTTATTATTGCGTTTTAAATCTGAGAAAACTGCATTACGTCACTCGGTTGCCATGCAACGTTAACGATTCCAAAGTTCGTGTACAAATATGGCGTCTTATCTAGCAAAATGTGAATAATTAGTATTTGACGTATGTTAAACTGTCATTATTAATACTTAAAAAACAGGATTTGTATGATTACTTTTAACATCTGGTGTGATATAATAGACACTACATGTGTATTCTTATCAAAATTTGTTTATTGTATTGTAATACAACACTCAATTATAACTGCGAGACAGTTTCGAATTTATCATCGTTAAACTAACCTATTTTGGTATTTGTTCGTTTCAATACAGTTTTCTCGCTATAAAATAAAGTTGAACATAAATGGGAAGACATTTGACCAAATGGCACTAAAATGATCACATTTTATAAACAAAATTTATAATTAAAGGGAAAAGATTAAAAGGCCTCTTATAAACTACAGTTTAGGGTTTAATTTTGTTTAATTTTCTGGCCAAATTAAAGAGAATTAGTACTAGAATTGTGCCCTAAGCTATAATATACGAGGTCCTTTCCTCTTTTCTAAATGACTAAGATATTGCCAGTTTAATTAATTAACTTATGTGCAAATCCGACTCTGCAGAAAAGAAGAGACTACAAAACTGTATGCTGTAGTTATAAATCTTAAGAATATGTGTCATTATCACCACAAAATGAGGTTACTCGATACAAGGAATAAGACAACCGAGTTATCAAATACGAATTTTAGTGAGTGTTAATCAAATTATCACCGTAGGATATGTATAGACGAAGTAATATACATTTCTTTTGATTGAATTAATGTTATAACATAACAACGAGTGCAAATTGTAATGTGAAGTTGCTTAATGATTAAATCGCATTGAGAAAAAAAAATGCGATTCGTAAAGATATTATTTGAGTGTATTTCGTAAAGCTTAACATGACATTTTCATTGACACAATTTCGCCTTCAGAGTTACTTTAAATCAATCTTATTAGAGTGTGAGTCTCTTGTAGAATACTTAATTAGACAAGGAATCGATTCTGTCAAATGATTAAATTGAGGAAATTTGTTAAACGAGGAAAAAGTAAAATGGATTAAAAACGAATGTTTACAAACTTAATTTTGCATTTACTTATAAATAAACGTTTAGAATTTTCTGTAATTATAATTCTGGCATTTCTTAATATTTTATGAGGTTATATTATTTCGAACTTAACTAATAAATTATAAATTAAAGTTTTACTTTTGAAAGGAAAGATAATCGTACTGGTAAATGTAGATTCTTTTTAATATAGGATATTATATTTCAGTTCTAATATTAAAAAAAAATGTATAAATGATTATANATATATTATTTTATTATACTGTATATTGATTTTTAAACATGGATAAATAATTCTATATAGATATAAAAAGTAAAAATTAAAAAAAAATTGCGATCATAATGGTATTAAAAGTGAATAAAAATATTTTTTAATACTGAAAAATTGATTTTGTTACTCTTATTGTTACTTTATTAATTGAAGTTTGAATATGAGATCATTTCTGATTTTGGAATCGTTCGTTGGGCTACAATGTGCTATGATTATTCGCACGTATTATTCGATTATAAGCAAAATAAAAGACTATTACAATTTTTTTAAATTAAAAATCTGATGTAACTAGGACAGTTTTTAGAACTGCAAACATTGTTAATAAGTATTCTATTAAATTTTATGTCAGCAAATTTCCCACCCAATTAGTTTCTAGCCATATTCTATCATCCTGTATACGTTGTTTTCCTATTAAAATGAAACTGGCACATTTCCATTACTTATCAACTTCCTGATATGCTATCATTTATTAACCTTGAATCTGTTCGTTTGTTATTTCTTAATTTCATAAAAACCGCTTTCAATTTCTGTGTTATCGTCTTAAACAAGTTTCAAATCTTTTACAAGTTCCAAGTTCCTTTTTACTATTAAATAGCCTTGAATTAATTTATTTATGTTTAATATTCATAAGCTTTTGCAATATTTCTTTTAATGCAAACTATTTAGTTTGAATTATTCATCCCGAAAAAAAGAAGAAAAATAATAAACAAATAATTCATTATTACAAGTGAAGTGTTTTGTATATTATATATTTATACATCAAATCTTGTTACACATCCTGGTAGGATTTACGTAACAGATCAAAGACCTAAATTCACATTTATAACATCAGTAAAAAATAAAAAAATAAAATGAAAAACTCTTCAGATTAATATAGACATAAATAATTACTTTTCAACTTAAGAATATAAGCTATTATTAATTTAAGATGATTACATAACTGTATAAGTCCTTCAGTGTATGACCTACATGTGGTTTCATTGGTCTAATTTTTTTTCATTATATAACTTGACATGTTTATAGAAACAAGTGACAAGTACTCACCTTTTCCTTTTAACCCCCTACAATAAAAGAAAATTCAGTTTACGGTATGCTAAACAACTCTACTAATTAAACGAACATTAATATTTACGAATAAATCAAGCAGTTCAATTATCTAACAATTGAAAACTAACTGTACCAGTTTGCATTGTTCTTCGTATATGAAACAATTCAATGAATGTCCTTGCTTGTAAGTTAAATTTAAAAAATTACAAAAAAAAGATATATTTTCAATTCTTATATTAAAATCATTTTTTCTCTCAGATTAAATTTTTAAGGAAGAAAACACCTTACGTTCATGTAACATGGACCTGCTGATGTCAAGGTTAGCTTGTGCAATTTCCTGTGCTTTGGCTTCCATATAAACATATGAGTCAGAACACAAGCCGTGATTTAACATTACCTTGTATGGGACAATGGTTTCCTCATTAACAAAAATGAACTGGTCCGTATTATAATATAAATTATAATAACCATGATGAAATTTCATTATTGAGGATGTACAGGATAATTACATCAAAATTACTTTCTACTGCCATTCTATCCCAATTGGGCATTACAAAATTGTAAATTTCCTTATCAGATGACCCTATAGAATCATTCTTTAAGATAGGAAATCTCGAGCTTGTTCATTACAATTGTCTGTGCTGTAATATGACATAAAAAAAAATTTATAAACAACAATTGCAAAATTTAGAAGAATACAAAATAGTAATTACAAAATAAGTTCTACTTTTAGTCAGCAGATGGCGTCACTTAATTTTGCATATAATATATATATATATTATTCATCATTCACTATTTCGTACTGACAGTTTATTAAACTAATTTACTAATGATCTATTGATAATTAAAGGATTATAGCTATGGTTGTTTACCTCACTGAAAAGATAAAAAATAAAATAGAAAAATTTACAATATTCCATATACAGAAATAATCTTGCCAAGGTTAATCTGGTCCTGAGATAAAATGCAAAATACACATAGAATTTTATAAGAGAATTTTACATTACGTTAATTGTATGAATTATAATTGAAAATGTATTTTATGTGATAAATTCTTAATCAATTTTTGTTATATCAAAAATGATTTCAGATTTATTTTCGGTATGATGATATAATATATTTTAAATTGATGTTTTTGATCACACCGAGATGATCTAATTTGATTAAAAAGATTTATTTTTATTGCTGAATCAAAAATATTAAATAAAAACAGTCATATTCTAATATATATTTTTTTAATTTTTGATCTTATATAAGTAGTATTATATAAATTTTTATATCATTTATAAAATATAAATAAAGTGTAGCTTTTTTATATGGTATATAATATTAAATATGATATATTTTTTTATATAAAAATGAAGATAAGTGTAGAGTAATACATGAAAAGCACATAGATGTATGAATATTATTTTAAAATGATAAAAGTAATGAACAGTCATTGTAGGAAATATTACATAAATATTCCAAAATATTTATTACAGAATATATAAAAAATTTTCTGAATAATTGCTATTAGTAATAACATTAATAGAGTTTTACTTACAATAGTTATAACATAGAAAGATACTTCTAGACAGTATTATTTTAATAATTCTCATAAGAAAACTAATAGCTTAATCATATAAACGAATATAATGTAATTTATTTTAATAAAAATAATTTAAAATATCGTAAATTTTAGTTAAAAGTTAATAAAAATTTAGTACAGTATTTGCTAATTTACAAATACATTGAAGAAAATAATAACCGAAAAAATATTGTTTATCGTATATTGGTTATTTAACAGTTTGCGACTAATTGTTATCATTTATATTAGGCCAGTACTAAATGTAAAATGAGAATTATATAAATCTTTTACAATGGAAATTCATTCGTAAATTTATTTGAGCAAAAGCAAAAATTTTTGAAGTACAGTATATGCAGTTATATAATATAATCAAATATTAAACACGTTAAGGCTGATTATAATCTATTTATACACGCAAACTGCATTAAAAATGCAATACTTTTTCTATGGGAAAATTCTTTACCAAAAATTCTCGAAAACAGAAGCAGATAGAATCAATGTTATTGTGTTAGAATTCGATTTAATTCTTGTATTAACGTCGGTTCAGAATTCGTTAATTTTTCTATGAATTTTTAATGTAGAAAATTCGTTTAAAAAATTTTCGGAATGAGATTTTTCCTCCACAAAAAGCATTACGTTTTTAACGCCATCTGCTGTAGGTTAGTGGTTATACAATCAGCAGGTTATACTGTATATTCAATGCATAGATTTTTAATTTAGTGAAAGAAAAGACATTCGTTTAAATTTTTGTTTTACTTTTCATGAATTAATAATAAAATTCAGTTAAAATTTAAATCGATTNAAATAGTACTGTCAGTACTATTTATAGGATACTACGTAATATTTATAGGGAAAACTGTTTACAAGTAAGCTTATTCATTGCCGCTTTACTAGGGTTTATAGGACATTACATAATATTTATAGGGAAATCCGTTCACAAGTATATTAGTACATTGGCTCTTTGTTTAGGAGGGCATTACATCGTGTTTGATTAAATCTTTTTGTTAGATGTGAATTAATTTGAAACTTTTTTATTAATAATTCTCATAAGAAAACTAATAGCTTAATCATATAAACGAATATAATGTAATTTATTTTAATAAAAATAATTTAAAATATCGTAAATTTTAGTTAAAAATTAATAAAAATTTAGTACAGTATTTGCTAATTTACAAATACATTGAAGAAAATAATAACCGAAAAAATATTGTTTATCGTATATTGGTTATTTAACAGTTTGCGACTAATTGTTATCATTTATATTAGGCCAGTACTAAATGTAAAATGAGAATTATATAAATCTTTTACAATGGAAATTCATTCGTAAATTTATTTGAGCAAAAGCAAAAATTTTTGAAGTACAGTATATGCAGTTATATAATATAATCAAATATTAAACACGTTAAGGCTGATTATAATCTATTTATACACGCAAACTGCATTAAAAATGCAATACTTTTTCTATGGGAAAATTCTTTACCAAAAATTCTCGAAAACAGAAGCAGATAGAATCAATGTTATTGTGTTAGAATTCGATTTAATTCTTGTATTAACGTCGGTTCAGAATTCGTTAATTTTTCTAAGAATTTTTAATGTAGAAAATTCGTTTAAAAAATTTTCGGAATGAGATTTTTCCTCCACAAAAAGCATTACGTTTTTAACGCCATCTGCTGTAGGTTAGTGGTTATACAATCAGCAGGTTATACTGTATATTCAATGCATAGATTTTTAATTTAGTGAAAGAAAAGACATTCGTTTAAATTTTTGTTTTACTTTTCATGAATTAATAATAAAATTCAGTTAAAATTTAAATCGATTTACATGACAAAAGAAGTAAAAATTAAAAAAAAATTGCGATCATAATGGTATTAAAAGTGAATAAAAATATTTTTTAATACTGAAAAATTGATTTTGTTACTCTTATTGTTACTTTATTAATTGAAGTTTGAATATGAGATCATTTCTGATTTTGGAATCGTTCGTTGGGCTACAATGTGCTATGATTATTCGCACGTATTATTCGATTATAAGCAAAATAAAAGACTATTACAATTTTTTTAAATTAAAAATCTGATGTAACTAGGACAGTTTTTAGAACTGCAAACATTGTTAATAAGTATTCTATTAAATTTTATGTCAGCAAATTTCCCACCCAATTAGTTTCTAGCCATATTCTATCATCCTGTATACGTTGTTTTCCTATTAAAATGAAACTGGCACATTTCCATTACTTATCAACTTCCTGATATGCTATCATTTATTAACCTTGAATCTGTTCGTTTGTTATTTCTTAATTTCATAAAAACCGCTTTCAATTTCTGTGTTATCGTCTTAAACAAGTTTCAAATCTTTTACAAGTTCCAAGTTCCTTTTTACTATTAAATAGCCTTGAATTAATTTATTTATGTTTAATATTCATAAGCTTTTGCAATATTTCTTTTAATGCAAACTATTTAGTTTGAATTATTCATCCCGAAAAAAAGAAGAAAAATAATAAACAAATAATTCATTATTACAAGTGAAGTGTTTTGTATATTATATATTTATACATCAAATCTTGTTACACATCCTGGTAGGATTTACGTAACAGATCAAAGACCTAAATTCACATTTATAACATCAGTAAAAAATAAAAAAATAAAATGAAAAACTCTTCAGATTAATATAGACATAAATAATTACTTTTCAACTTAAGAATATAAGCTATTATTAATTTAAGATGATTACATAACTGTATAAGTCCTTCAGTGTATGACCTACATGTGGTTTCATTGGTCTAATTTTTTTTCATTATATAACTTGACATGTTTATAGAAACAAGTGACAAGTACTCACCTTTTCCTTTTAACCCCCTACAATAAAAGAAAATTCAGTTTACGGTATGCTAAACAACTCTACTAATTAAACGAACATTAATATTTACGAATAAATCAAGCAGTTCAATTATCTAACAATTGAAAACTAACTGTACCAGTTTGCATTGTTCTTCGTATATGAAACAATTCAATGAATGTCCTTGCTTGTAAGTTAAATTAAAAAAAATACAAAAAAAGATATATTTTCAATTCTTATATTAAAATCATTTTTTCTCGCAGATTAAATTTTTAAGGAAGAAAACACCTTACGTTCATGTAACATGGACCTGCTGATGTCAAGGTTAGCTTGTGCAATTTCCTGTGCTTTGGCTTCCATATAAACATATGAGTCAGAACACAAGCCGTGATTTAACATTACCTTGTATGGGACAATGGTTTCCTCATTAACAAAAATGAACTGGTCCGTATTATAATATAAATTATAATAACCATGATGAAATTTCATTATTGAGGATGTACAGGATAATTACATCAAAATTACTTTCTACTGCCATTCTATCCCAATTGGGCATTACAAAATTGTAAATTTCCTTATCAGATGACCCTATAGAATCATTCTTTAAGATAGGAAATCTCTAGCTTGTTCATTACAATTGTCTGTGCTGTAATATGACATAAAAAAAAATTTATAAACAACAATTGCAAAATTTAGAAGAATACAAAATAGTAATTACAAAATAAGTTCTACTTTTAGTCAGCAGATGGCGTCACTTAATTTTGCATATAATATATATATATATTATTCATCATTCACTATTTCGTACTGACAGTTTATTAAACTAATTTACTAATGATCTATTGATAATTAAAGGATTATAGCTATGGTTGTTTACCTCACTGAAAAGATAAAAAATAAAATAGAAAAATTTACAATATTCCATATACAGAAATAATCTTGCCAAGGTTAATCTGGTCCTGAGATAAA